GTGGGCAGAGGCTAATTTCTCACACAGACCCTTGCACATATACTGTGTTAACTGACATCCAATATAAATAGCAGGATTGTCCACCACCTACACCTCCATCATAGCATGTTGTGTTAGGAAAAGCTAAAGTTAGATTGATCTTGTTTGGAACTTGCTACAGTTCAGAGCTATAACTTGATGCAGAAGTGTTGCAATTAGAAAACACACAAAAATATTTTGGTTGATCAGATAAGAATTCCCCTCTTTGGAAGGCCACCTGCTATCTTTCAGGAATGAATTAACACACTGTTGGAAAGTGGAGAAGAACAGAGAAGCAAGTCTTTATTGGCCTTTATCCATTATTTATGGAGGGGTACATGTTCTTTAGTCTTTTCAGTCCCAGCATCTCTGTATCAAGTGGGATGCTTGACAGGAAACACATGCTTGTCCTTGACCAGCATTTCAGTTGAGATTTAGTGCTTATAACCTCAGGTCACCACAGTTTGAAAGAAGGAATACACATTATATAAGAGAGGGGGAGCAAAGCAAACAAAAGGCTAGATCTGCCTTCTACTAATCAAAAGAAGGATCCTGACAGGAAGCATTACACCCAATTCTCACATTCCCCCTGGAGAAGGGACCCTGTTCTAAACCGTATTCCCTGATCCCCTGAGAGACAGAGTTGGATGGAGGATAAAGGGAAGTGTAGTCCACCAAAAAAGTAAAATTCCTAAGATCTAGTTTCAATATGCATTTAATGTATTTTTTTGTATTGTTCAAGGCTTTCATGGATGGAATCACTGGGTTGTTCTAGGTTTTTTGGGCGGCTATATGGCCATGTTCTAGAGGCATTCTCTCCTGACATTTCTCCTGCATCTATGGCAAGCATCCTCAGAGGTTGTGAGGTTTTTTTCTCTTAAAATACATCTTCCAAGAAACAGTCTGCTTCAAAATATGTATTAGTTAATCCATATTAGTGCTTCAATATTTAGATTGCTGTATTATCATTCACACATTAATCCAGAAGGTATATACAGTATATTCTGGCGTATAAGACTACTTTTTAACCCAAGAAAATCTTCTCAAAAGTCAGGGGTCGTCTTATATGTGGGTGTAGTCTTATGCATGGGAGTCATCTTAACTCTATATTTTAACTGGAAAAGTTGGGGGTCGTCTTATATGCCCAGTCGTCTTATATGCCGGAATATACGGTAAGTTTTCATTAATTTCATTCCCAAAAGAAGCATAAAGTCAATTTTAGCAATTTTCTTCCTGCTGCAAGAAAATTTTTGAATACTGCAGACTTTTGAAAATTATTCAAAACTTGAGGTTTATACTAGAAAATAACTGCGTGTGGAATTTTTGCACAGAAAACAGCATATTCTGCACAGGATACATGTAGAAAATGCTATTTCCTCCTTTAAAATGATATAGTTGGGAATCTATTCTGCACAAAATTTGCACATTTTGGTAAAGAAAACTGCATTTCTGCACAGACAAATTATTATTATTTATTATTTAAAACATGTATATACTTCTATACAGAAATATTGTTTTTGCACAGCAACCACCATGTCCTGCACATTAAAAATTGCTTTTATATTTCCGGGAGAAAATCCATCCAGAAACATGGATTGAGCCAATTTGTACTGGAATTCACAAAAGATTGGCTTCCTCAAATATCCTTGCTTCAACTGGACCAGAAGAGGCAATAAGTCATGCAACTGCTTGACAGATATATCTGTGAGGATTTCTGGAATCCAAATTTCTTTTACACCAAATCTTTAACTTTCTCTTTCTGCAAAATTTTCCAGAGCTAGATTCCAAAGGTGAATGTGTTTGTATTATTCAATAAAAACCCATTTTCACAGAATGGCCTTACTAAGCCTTTGGTGAGGTACAGTAAACTTTGAGAATAAGAGAAATCTGTATATCACCAAACAATGATGTCAACTTATGGTTCAAGATAACTTGTGCTCTTACGTGCAAAAATCTGCACAATACCCTGAGACTCTTGATCGTGCTATCAGTCTGGCCGTATCAATCCTTTTAGGATACCACAGAGAAGGGGTCTGCTAATATAGCCTTTTAGCACTTATCACAGAGACAGCTGTGCATACTGAAAGACATACAAATTATATGAAACACTGTTGGTGAGAAAAATAACAGTCTCTTTCAGGTACATTTCCCATATTTATACTAAATGGCTATACTAGAAGCCACTTAAAAACATTAATGTGAAAAAGTATGGAAGGGCTGGTATAGGGAGGCTACTTATTGAAGTCTAGTATTTTTATATTTTTGAGCTTTGATTGCATGCTTAATTTCTAAGTAGAAGAAGAGAGTGAGGCAACATACAAATGACTATTGTAGCTGGTAGTGTTATTTTACCTTCATAGAGAGACAATTGTTTGGCATTAATTATTGACCATCTGGTCATTTTGTGTGAGGAAGCCAAATGAAATTCTCAGATGCTAATATGTCCAATTTTGCAATGGTTCGACCAGATAAAACCTAATCTCATAGCTGTCCCTTGTCTCTCTGGTGAATAAAACTGAATCGGAACCAGCTGAAACAAACAAATAGCCAGAGTTTAGCTAGTGGCTTCCAACAGATCTTATGACACATTTTGAAGAAGCTGCCACAAACGAATATCACGGGACACCCTGGCAGACTTCATATTGGAAAAAACCACACTTAACTGGCACCCTCTCCTTCTGATCAATGTACAGCACCAGAGATGCCTTTTGTCTTAATAGCTAATGATGGTCACTCCCCACCTCTGCATTTCATAAAACGCTTTGCAATGAGGAGAACAGGAAGCAAAAGATGAAATAGAAACAAATATACCTATCCTTGATAGAGAAAAACAAACTCCTTCTTATAAAGAATTGCACTAGCATTGTGAAAGCTACATATCTTGTTGTTCCTTGTAAGACATCCTGACAGTAAAATAATTTTAAAGCCCATCTGTCTGTGGAATGGAAATCCATCCCATCTTTCTCTCCTCTCTGTCATGCACAATTGCATGATTTCTTAGGGCCCATTCACACTACAGAATTATAGCTGGATCATTTCACTTTAACTGTAATAGTTCTATCCTAGAACCTTGGATTTTGCAGTTTAAGGGGGTATTGCAGTTTAAGGGAGATCCACACAGTTAAAGCAATGCTATTCCCCGTAGTAACTTATGGATGCGAGAGCTGGACCATAAAGAAGGCTGAGTGAAGAAAGATAGACACTTTTGAACTGTGGTGCTGGAGGAAAATTCTGTGAATGCCTTGGATTGTAAAAAGATCAAACCAGTCCACACTCCAGGGAATAGTGCCAGACTTCTCACTGGAGGGAATGATATTAGAGGCAAAGATGAAGTACTTTGGTCACATAATGAGAAGACAGGAAAGATTAGAGAAGACAATTATGCTGGGGAAAATGGAAGGAAAAAGGAAGAGGGTCCGAAGAGTCGGAAGCGACTGAAAGAATAAACAACAACAAAATTTAGAATTCTCAGCCTGAGAGCTATCAAGCCTCACTAAACCATGAGCCCAGGATTCACCCATGGAAAATAAACATAGTGCTATAATTTAATAGTGTAAAATGGGCTTTAGATTGGGATGCATCTATACTGCAGATTTAATGGAGTTTGGCACCAGTTTAATTCCCCTGGTTCAATGCTATGGAATCATGAGAACTGAAGTTTCACAAGACCTTTAGCCTTCTCTGCCAAAGAATGCTGGTGCGTCACCAAACAACTCCAAGAATGCTATAGCATTGAGACAAGGCAGTGAGTAGTGTCAAACTGCATTTCAGTATTCCCTCAGTTATCATGGGTGTTACGTTCCAGGACCACCCACAAAAAGTGAAAATACGTGAAGTAGGGATGATATATACCGTATATTCCGGCATATAAGACGACTGGGCGTATAAGACGACCCCCAACTTTTCCAGTTAAAATATAGAGTTAAGACGACTCCCATGCATAAAACTACACCCACGTATAAGACGACCCCTGACTTTTGAGAAGATTTTCTTGGGTTAAAAAGTAGTCTTATATGCCAGAATATACTGTATATATAATCTCACATCGGCAGGTAGCATCTCAAGTGGCCGCTGTGCAAGTCCTACTTTCGTTTTTGGTGTATTCATCTGCTGAGTATATCCTCACACCCTTTTCTTTTTAGGGAGCTTTATGCCTCTCCCACCTGTCTTTCCCTGCACCAGGTTGGTCTCATGATGTCACGTGAGTCCCTCCTCCTCCCTCCCAACCCACCTGCCATTCACCCCTCTAGACCTGTCCATCATCCTTCCCTTCCTTCCCTTCCTTCTCCCACTTTCAACCCGGAAGGGCTCCCATCTGCAGGGGAGAGTGAGGAAGAGGAGGAAGTGGAAGCAGGTGAGGAGGAAGAGTTAGGCAAATGGGGCGCCTACAGGAGACAGCTTCCCAGGCTGCCATCTCCCATGATGCACGTGGCAAAGAGAGGAGCAGCTCCAGTGTAAATATATACATTACTGTATTTATTGAAAAACCACAAAACAGCTAGTCGGCACAAAGTGAACCGCGAAGTAGCACGGGAACACTGTGATTCTAAAGTGCAGGTGCATCCCAATACTCCTTGGCCATTTATGTCAGGTTATTGTAACTATGTGTTTGAAGTTAAGCAAGTTATATAGCAAGTCACTTCACATAAACACCATCCCTGATTCCTGTTTGCAGTCATTGTATAATCATTCTATTGTTTTAATGGATGGCTGGAGACTTAGCAAATGTTTGTTGGGGTGTCCCTTTAATACCCACCCAAAAAATCATAAAAACACCAGGGCTCAATAACAACACCAAGCAAATCTCCAACTGAATTAATTACAGCTGCTCCTGAATTTGGAAAGGAGAAGATTTCCCCCTCATTATATGGCTAGGTCAAAAGATTTATGACTATGAATGGCAGACTTTTCCTGACCTATGAATCTAGGGAAAGCACTTAGAAAACAAAGGAAGGAAGTGGGGTTGGAGAGGGAGCACCAACCAGGTTTGATCTCCAGCAACTTGAGCCTGGAATCCTCAGGAGGATGCAAACGTCTCTTCTTGCGCCAGCAACGGGCAGGATACGTATAGAGTTGACCTGGTGCAAGACCTGAGAGACAAAAGAAAATAAAAAATAAACACATGCACTCTGTTTTCTTCAATGTCAAATCAACAAACACTTGTTAAAATCCTGAGTTGTAGATTTTTACATCCAGACTTATATTCTATAAACGGGTTAAGCATCCACTGTCTAGAAATCTGAAATCCAAAATCCTCCAAAATCTGAAATGTGTCCAGATGACTGGCTGAGATAGTGACACCTTTGCTTTCTGATTGCTCAAAGTACACAAACTTGAACAATATTATTAAAATGTTGTTTCTAAAAGTACCTTCAGACTGTGTATATGGCACATAAATGAATGTCTTGTTTAGACTTTGGTCCCATCTCCAAGATACCTTATTATGTATGTTTATAGAAATATGGGTATTTCAAAATCTGGTGGGAGGAGGAGAATTCAAAACCCAAAACACTTCTCGTCCCAAGCATTTTGGTTAAGGCATACTCAATCTGTATACATCCACATCAGATTCTTAGTCTGTCTTCAAAATGAGATCCTCTGGAACTATTTCCATCTTTTCACAATTTTACAGAATGATACAGAATATAGTAAGGGTACTGCAAAATGCCCAAGAGTAACCATAATCCAAATTTGTGCCTCCTCAATCAGTTGCATAATGTTATAAATGCAAAACCCATAAAACAATGCGCATCACATAGGCTGGGTTTACAACATTTGATGACCAGTTTCTTACAGACATAGAGTTACCTTTCTTTTAAAAATCCTGATTTGTGTCTACACCAGAACAAACATTCTTAAAAACAAATTGAAAAAAAATGAGATTAATTAGGGTAGTTGGAGACTATGAAAAGGTAACATGGGAAATGAAAGTAAAGATTGCCTACATGGCGTGCGTGATGACAAGGTTGGCTCAAGGAAGTGGTTGGCACAGCATGGAGTTCTGGAGTTTAATACAAAATCAGCATAGATTTTGTTTTCCTTCTTGGGGGATAACAGGTGTTTTGCTGTATTTTGCAGCACCTTATTTAGAGTTACAATCGAACCATTTATGAAAAGAGTCCTCAAAACTATGAAAGCTGCTAATTGAAAATCAATCAGTGGTTCAAAAATGTCTAAAAGGCATTAGAATTAAAAACAACCACAAGAAAATAAGGTATGGAAGGCATAATTTCTGCAAACCACTCTTGTCTACTGGTCTAAAATAGTGCATACATATGCAGTCTGAAGAAAAAGACAATCAGAACTACAGTTAGAAACATCAACAACATGATAGTTCACAATATTAAAATGGAATGTTGAAATAATTTATTGTGAAGAGACACCAAAGTGTTTTTTTAAACCTGCAATTTGAGAATTTTTTTCTTTCCTGCATATTGAAAATAAGCCAGTTAACTGTGGCATGTGTTTTAATAGGCAAAATGCTGTTTCTTCAGGTGTATTACATGACCCTGGCGTATGGGGTGGGGAGCTCTACTGATCTCTTACATCCAATAGTCAAAGAAGTGCTGGTCAAAAGACTACCCCACAAATTTCTACCAGTTAGTTTCAGTCTTGGTATTGGAATAAAAGGCGAACTCATTCAGACTGGCCATTTGTACCACATCACTGGGTTGTTGTAGGTTTTTCGAGCTGTGTGGCCATGTTCTAGAAGCATTCTCTCCTAATGTTTTACCTGCATCTATGGCAGGCATCCTCAGAGGCTGTGATGGCCACACAAAAAACCTACAACAACTCAGTGATTCTGAACATGAAAGCCTTCGACAATACATTGTACCACATCATTTAATTTTTATTTATTGGGTCAGAAGCGAATTGAGGGTACAGTTATAATTAGTTTAAAAACACAAACAAAATTAAAAACGTGGCATTATGCTAAATGTCCTTTGACCAGAAACTGGCCACTTGGAGTGCCTTTAATGTCGCTGTGAGAAAGTCCTCCACTGTGCATGTGGCAGGGCTCAGGTTGCATTGCAGTAAGTGGTCTGTGGTTTGCTCTTCTCCACACTCGCATATTGTAGACTCCACTTTGTAGCCCCATATCTTAAGGTTGGCTCTGCATCTCGTGGTCCCAGAGTGCAACCTGTTCAGCATCTTCCAGGCTGCCCAATATTCTGTGTGCCCAGGAGGGAGTCTCTCATCTGGTATCACCAGAACCGAATTGCAGCATGTAACCAACCAAACATCATTTAATGGTGTTTCTCCACACTTCTTCTTTAAACTTCCCTATTCAATCATTCTTCAGAATGAGGCCAGATGGGATCCACATGGGATTGAGCCTAGAGGGGGCGAGTGAGAGACCTGAGGGCTGCCTGGGATCCTCGAGTCTCCCGCCACGGGGCTAAGCAGCAGGAATGCCCGGGTCTCCTTCTCCAGGTGCCACAGAGCTCTGAAGTTGCCACCACGACTGAGAACAGCCTCTTCACACCCACTATCCCCGAGGGTCCAGATTCCTTCAGGCCTTTTCACACCGCTAGGTTTATGTGTGCAATTCTAATGCACCATTGACTTTCATGTGCACCTTGGTGATATAATTTAATCAAAAAAGGTGAGCATTAGACTCAAGTAAATATGGTAAATGCTGCATTCAACAAAAGAGTAAAAAATAAATGGGAATTAAAAGAAATTACTGGCAAATACATTGGGATAACAGAAATGATGCCCATCGTGGAATTTTCTCAGCAAGATTTATTCACAAAGTGTTTATCTTAGCCCTCCTCTAGGGCTGAGAGAGTGTGACTTGTCCAAGGTTTACCATTGATATTCTTTGACTGAGCAGAGATTTGCACTTTGGTCTCCCAGTATCCTAACTCTATAATCAAACCACCGCAATGGCTCTCTTTAATGTCATCACGCAACAACATTTAAATACCAATTTATAATTAATTAAATTATCTATTATTTAGCCAATTGATAATCAAAAAAACTGGCTAAGGTATTCTAACAGGAATCGCTAAGAAGATTTAAAAGGAGAACTCTGTATAAATATAAATATTTTACCAAGCTTCATAACTATCCACTAACACGTTCCCAATTTTCTGGTGTGCTTCAGATGCTGGTAGGAGAAGCTAATATATTCACAACATATTCATACAATTCTAATCTCAAGAATGTAACCCATAAAATGTCTGATACTAGTCTATTTCTGAGTTGTTGACATTTTTGTGAATTATCTATTACTTGATAATGCTTAATATACTATTAATTTTCCTCCCTTTGACTTCCAAGGCAAGGTATGTGAATTTATAATGTAGGCATCCCCCTCACCTCTTATCCTTGAAGGTCATGCCTTAACCTGTTGACACCCAAGATGCCCACTGGTCTGCTGTGGTCATTAAACAGATTTGTGAAATGTCTATCATTTGATCCTGATGACAGCTATATATCAGATTGTTATTGTTTACAACAATATTAATTATCCATTAATTATCATAATTTACTGATGTTGAACATTCTATGCACATCTACAACCTTGAGTAATAAAATATTGCACAATCCATCATTCTTCTGATAACATTTAACACCAAACATTAAGTTTTACAGCTCTTCATTCTTCAAATAATGTTTGACCTTGGATGATAGACATCAATGTAACATTTCATATGTAGTCCACACTCTTTTGCCCATTAGTCTGTGATCTCCAGAAATCAATGTGTTTCTAGTCTAAATCTAGTTGATGATGCCAACACAAGTAGCCCTGCTGAATCAATTCAATTTATATAAATGCCAGCTCATATTGATTCAGAGGGTCTAATTCTAGCTAAGATTAGCTATTGGATCTTGGAAATAAAAGCAGAAGGTTTTAGTAACAGGGTGACCAGTCTGTCCTAATATCATCTACTCCATTTTGGACAGCAGTGAAAAGAGCACCTAAGAAGGTGAATTCAGGATACAGTACAAATGCACTGGAAACCAAGATTGAACTGGAATCTCTTTTCAGATTCAGCTTTTTTTCCACTTGTAGTTCATAATATCGATGGAAGCTTGGGGCCATAATCAAAAGTTTAGCTACAGGGCTGTGTGGGTTGGTGGGGATGAGAATTTTTCCTTGCAGAAATTGAAAAATTTAACTGAGCAATGGAAATAAGATGTAGGTATCAAACACTAATGGCCAGGAAAACTTACCAAGGGAAAATGTGCACAACAAATGTAAGAGGTCCATTTGTGAATTATATTCAGTGTCCAATTCTCTACAATGCAAGAAATTTGGGGAATGAAGGAATATTTCATTTGGAGAGCAGACGTCTTACTGAGGGACAATACCTCCTTTTGCACCATCCCTGCAGGTAAGCACCCTTTTCAAATTATGAGACTATCAAGTTATGAGACAATGGCAGCCCATCTTTCTATATATATTTGAATCAATAGGCATTTACCAGAACTGCTTTTGTACTAGTTAGAAAGTTTGAGCAGATATTTCTGGTAAACAGAAAGGTTTTTCTAGTGCAATTCTTTTTGGTGTTATCTGTGCTGAATGAATCACTATTTATTTATTTATTTATTTAATACACTTGTATACCGCTAATATCTCAGCCTAAGTCGGCGACTCATTGCGGTTTACAACAATTAAAAACAATATACAATTTAAAACAACAACACATAGACAATACAAATTATTGGGCCACCAATAATAATACCATGTATCTCGTCACTAAAATCACAGTCCAGAATTCGTCATCCATAATTAACCAGTCCTTAGTCCATAAAATTCGGTGATAACAAACTAACCGAATGCTTGTTTACACAACCATGTTTTTAATCTCTTCCGAAACACCATCAGCGAAGAGGCTGATCGTATCTCTATAGGGAGGGTGTTCCAAAGCCGAGGGGCCACCACAGAAAAGGCCCTGTCTCTCGTTCCCACCAGCCGCACTTGGGAAGCCGGTGGGATAGAGAGCAGGGACTCTCCAGAAGATCTTAGGGTCCTGGTGGGCTGATAGGCTGAGATACGTTCGGATAGATAAGTTGGGCCAGAACCGTTTAGGGCTTTAAAGGCCAAAACCAGCACTTTGAATTGAGCCCGGTAGCATAT